ACCATCCCCTGAGCTCCCGAAAGAAAAATAGCGTCACATCTCCTAATACTTCCAAGTGACAGGCAAATTGGAAATCTATGATGCTTTTATTATAGAATATTGTGTGGCTTGAAACTTGGAACTAGGGGTCTGTTTTTCTCCCGACTTTAACTCCGCTGGATGATTTACACCTATGCAAAGGGCTTTGCTGACAGACCAGAATTAGAGCTTTTATTTTGCTCTGTTGTAAAGGATTTTTCGACGTGCACAATCAGGTCCTAAAGGAGAAAATGGAAAGGGTTGTGACTGTTAGTTTGCAGCCAGAACAAGTAGATTTATATTAGATATTAGAAAGAAATTAGTTGCTGTGAGGGTGGTGAGACCCTGGCCCAGGTTGCCTGCCTGAAGGCAAGTAGATGGCTTAAGTTATTCCATACTACCTGGCTTAACTTTAGCCAAACCTACTTGACCACCCAGCTCCTTATGCATAAAGCTACTCCATTGCCATACCCTTGACCTGTGCCAAAGGAGGTACAAAATCTAGTGAAATTTAAGCCAGTAGAGTAAAGGTATCCTTGATAGGACAAGAGGAAATGGCCTCAAGTTGTGCCAGGGGAGGTTCAGATTGGATAGTAGGAAAGAGTTTTACACTGAAAGGGTTATTAAGCATTGGAACAGGGAAGCCCAGGTTGAAGCACCACCCCTGGAGTTTTTCAAAAGACGGGTTGACATAATGACATTAGAAAGGCCTGCAGTGACAGGACGAGGGGCAATGGCTTCAAGCTGGAGGGGAACAGATTTAGATTGGAGATTAGGAGAGGGTTCTTCACTGTGAGGGTGGTGGAGCACTGGAACAGGTTGCCCAGGGAGGTGGTTGAGGCCCCTTCCCTGGAGATATTCAAGGAGAGGCTCGACGAGGCCCTGGGCAACCTGGTCTAGTTGGGGGTGTCCCTGCTGACTGCGGGGGGGTGGGACTAGATGGCCTTTGGAGGTCCCTTCCAGCCTGGGCAATTCTATGATTCTATGATAGTTCTTAGAGACATAGTTTAGTAATGTGGGGGGTTCTTTTGTATGTTGGTTTTTTTTTTTTTTTTTAAATCAGAGTTAGGTTGATGGTTGGACTAGATGATCTTAAAGGTCCCTTCCAACCTAGATGATCTTAAAGGTCCCTTCCAACCTAGATGATTCTATGATTCGGAGAAACTTATTCTTGCTCTTACATTCAGGATCAGATTAAGGTAAAAAAAGCCATATCCTGTATTATAAATGGAAATGCCTTTCTCCTGCTGGAACGAGAAAACAAAGCTCCCTGGGATTACTGGGTGGCAGCAGGGACGGTGAGGCAGGGAGAAGTCTCTCCCGTGTCAGTCTTTGCTGTTTGTTGCATTTGGGGTCTGATTATTTTTTGTTGACTCGGTCATTCATCGGGAGCCTCAAAGAACCAGCGCAAACAGGAGTTAAGCTCCTTCATTCCATCCCCGTGGAGAAGGGGAGCAGCCACCTCTTCGCTGTGCTCATTGTCAAACTAGATAAAAAAAAATAAATAGAGATATGATCATTGGAAGAACAAGCCGTGGAGCTGGGGATTGCGGAGTCGTTGGACCGTTCTTCTCCGGTAAAGAAAACCAGGAGCCAGAGGAGACTCTGAGGCGACGTCGTGGCAACTCTTGTTTTATTTAGTGCATTGTCTTTGGAATCTTTGTGCATACAGAAATGCTGGGTGAGAGAAGTTATTCTCCCAAAGAGCTGGCCTTTTTGTTTTTACTCCTGCAGTGCTGATTTTTCAGAGTAGGGCTGGAGACAGATAAGCCTTTTACAACCTTTGTGTTTTAGGCACTTTTCTAGGGCCGTAGACTGAGTATTCGACTTGCTGTTGTGGGGAGGACTTTTTCAGAAGCAGATTTTATTCATCAGAGACACCCCTTTAATTAACATCCACACTTCCATGGGGAGAGGAATATAAAGGAAGCTAATAATAATAATAATAATAGTGACATATCTTGTTACCGTTACATATTAAAATAAAATGCTGCAGGGAGTGGAGTTTCAAGGCCTCTTTTTTAATGAAGATTCCAATAGCATTTAATGTAAATTAAATATAATCACCGGCTGATTCCTGAGCGTATCTCTGAGGCTGAAGAATAAGAAGTTAATTGTGCTGACAACATGGTGGGAAGTGCCCAAATGAAGCACCAGCGTGTTGGTTAAAGCTCATTTTGAATTAAGAGGTGGAAGGCAAGACTTTTTGATTTTTTTGAACTCCCGCTGCCAGTTATTTAGCAGCAGTTCAGTGCAAAGTTTGTGCGCGGCGTGGATTTATTACATAAGATATCTAACATAAAATTTGCATTACTATGCAAATGAAGGGGACTTTATTTAACTTCCGAGATTGGGAAGGATCAGATGCATGAGCCTAACAAGCCATTTTACTCCGGGGATGGGGAATTGCTGGTATGTAAATCCCTGAACTCGTTCTGTGGGCAGATAATTAAATGAGGGCTGCAAAATGACTAGACGTCAACTCCAGCATCTTGGATTGCATTAGGAAGAATTAGTTGTGGAAGTCTCAGTCTTGAAACTGCTGCTTATGGAATTCATGCACTTGGAGGCAAGACTTCCTTGATGAAAAGACTGGGGATGGGGCAAACTGTGTGTTCCTCAAGGTAGGATGTGATGTGACAGAACTGAATTTCCAGGTCCTTCTCTCACGATGACAGCCTGGAATACCTGTGTGGGGTAGAGATGACCTCTTCCACCTCATATTACCAGTGATGTAATTAGCCAGCTGGTGCAGTGGGTCCTGGGATCCTAAATAAATGAAGTGCGCTTTGATGAATGGATATGGAATTGGTATCTTAATTTAACTCAGAATAACTGGTTGTCAGATCCCGTCTGGTCTTTGTGTGAGATTATTTCTCTTTCCTGTGTGGTGCCAAAGGATTCCATACCTTCTGCGCTCTTGTTCAACCCGTAATGCACGTCTGAATTACCTTTCTCCAACCAGGAGATGTTATCTTCATGGCACGCTTTCACTTGTATACCTGGTGGGTGCAATGCATAAAATTGAGTATACTTTTATCCTAGACAGCTTTCCCACCTGCACTGTCTGCACAGAGATCTCACTAAAGTGGGTAAAGACTGCAAAACTTTGCCATGGGGGCAAATCTCACAAGTTTGTGGTGCCTGTGTCCATCTACCCTGACCAGATGGGAATGAGAGTCAGTGGAGCGCTTACTGAGAGGCCTCAATTTATTTGTAGTTATTTGTAGTACTGGGCACTGGTGAGGCCTCACCTTGAGTACTGTGTCCAGTTTTGGGCCCCCTACCATAAAAAAGACATTGAGGTGCTGGAGCGGGTCCAGAGAAGGGCGACAAAGATGGTGAGGGGTCTGGAGAACAAGTCTTGTGAGGAGAGGCTGAGGGAGCTGGGGTTATTCAGCCTGGAGAAGAGGAGGCTGAGGGGAGACCTTCTTGCTCTCTCCAACTCCCTGAAAGGAGGTCGTAGAGAGATGGGGGTCGGTCTCTTTTCTCAAGTCACAGGCGACAGGACAAGAGGAAACGGCCTCAAGTTGTGCCAGGGGAGGTTCAGGCTGGATATTAGGAAAAATTTTTTCACTGAAAGGGTTATCAGGCATTGGAATGGGCTGCCCAGGGAGGTGGTCGAGGCCCCATCCCTGGAGGTGTTCAAAAGACGGGTTGATGTAGTGCTGGGAGGTATGGTTTAGTGATGATACTCCTTGTTTGTTGCGTGGGTGTTAATTTTTGTCAAAGTTAGGTTGACGGTTGGACAAGATGATCTTTAAGGTCCCTTCCAACCTAGAAGATTCTGTGATTCTGTGATTCTGTAGTAAGGTTATGTTTAGGGACTGGCCTTGTTCCTTGAATGAAGGGGTATAAAGAAAGAGTTGACAAAAGTCTTGAAAGAGTTGGCCTCCATCGGTGCTAACAGAGAGCAGGAAGGAGGTGAAGCTTCAGGACAAGCCATAGGTCTTCAGGACAGAGAGGCCATAAATAGCCATCTTGCCATTTTTTAATCAAAGAAACTTCCATTCAGTCCACGTTCTGCCCACCCTGAAAAAAAAAGCACTGACAAATAAACCTTTTCAATACGACGACAGCTCAAAGGTATCCTCTAAGGGAGAAAAAAAAAGATGAATTTTTTCTAGGTCTTTTTTGAGTCTTTCTAGAGTTTTTGACTGAAGCACTATGGGAAAACCACCCCTTTCTGACTAAAAAGATGTGAAGGGCTCCCTGGGGAAGCTTTAAGGCTGAAAATACCCCGTTGACCTTATAAAGCTTGAGAAGTACTAGATCGAGCTGATAAATACCTTTGGGCAGTGTTTATGTCTCTTCCCCTACTTGGTGTGGTCCCGAAGAGCGAGGTCAGCAACCAGTGCTTACAAGAAATAATGGTACTGGAATTTGGGGTGTAAAGGAGGGGTCTAAGGAAACCATGACTGGAGAGGGGACTGGTTTGGGTCCCTGCCTGTTTCAGGGCTCATAAAGCAGCCCTGCACCTTCGCGTTCACGGTGCTTTCCCCGAGTTACTGTGTCATTAGCAGGTGAATGATCACAGTAAATAAATTTGTCTTCAGTTTCTGGCCCTTCAAATTTGTCCCCTGAATACAATCTCCCCCTGCAATTCCTGGGCAAGCCGTCAGGTCTCATCTCTTTTTGCTCTACAAACCTTCTTTTGACTCTTTTAGTTGCAATGCCAACCATCTGGGCTGGCCTCGTTACCTGCCCACCTGCTATTTTCACTTTTTTTTTTCCCCTATTAACTTTCCAGGTCCACAGTGTTTTCCTTGTGTTGATGACAGGAGGAACATTTTGGGCAGCTCCTTGTATTTCCTACAGCCTCCTGGATGCCGTTGCTGGTCAAGGCCTCAGTCTTGCATAGTACTCCTGTGTCTCCATGCTCTGTGTTGTCTCAATTGCTCTGCAGCTTGAAAAAGTTCTTTAAGTGTGTCATTATGCAATTAATTTCAATTGCAATTCACATCCTCTCTCCTCTTCTGCAGGCATGCAACCCAGCAGGAGACTAATAAAACCATCACGACTAGCACCAAAGCCATCAAGCAGCTGTCTGAGGTTGTCAGAGGCTCCTCCAGGGTACGTGTCATTCAAGGTGCTGTTGGGGGAGAGAGCTGGGGCTTACAGAGGGGGGCAATAATGAAAAAAGAAGTGATAGTGGGTGCTTTGAAGCTGTGGAGCTCCATGTCAACCTTCTTTTTCTGTTACACAATAAGCATAGCTTGCGTCTGGGAAAACAGATGCAGAAACCAGTTCTTCTCCCCAAACTGGATCTTGTGGAACTGGAAATCAAGAAGTCAGCAAAAAAGACTCGACTGTAGCTCACACCTTTCTCAGATCTCACTTGGTTTGGGTGAAAGCACTACAAGAATCACCTAGCTCCACATGGGTTTGGCACTGGTTAAGGACTCGGTCGTGCAGTGGTTGCGTAGGTTCAACTCATACGAACATCGTTGTCTGAGGGGTATGAATGATCCCCATCCCCTGGTCCTCAGTGGAATGACTGGACCACCAGAAGGTTTCTGACCTTTCCACAGAGACCTTTGTACCCTACGTGTTCCTGCTGACTGTGGCTTGTGGTGTGCATCTTGGGGAAGAACAGAAACTTACTGTGGGGGACAAACTCCAGCTGGTGTGAGAGCTGGAGAACTTTGACCCACACAACAGCTGAAATGAGAATGAGGACAATTCTTTCCTACCTGATTCTACCTAGCAGTTTTCTGTTACATTATTTCTTCCAGCTTTCATATAGTTTCTGGGTCAGGAACTTACCTGAAATGGTGTTTTACCCTCACTCATTCTCCAAAGTCCTGTGTTACTTCAGCTCTGTTCACACCGTCCTTCCATCTAGAAAAAAAAAAGAAGTGCTCTAAACACACGACTCATCTCTGTCTGAGTGGTTTTTACAGCCTGGATTTATGTCACTTGGCAAACGAGCATCAGAGATGAGGATTTAAGAGCTGAATCACTCCAGATAACCTTTGTAACCAGTGGAGGACCATGTGCAATTCACCCCACCTAAAACAATGAATGGTTGATGATCTACTCCAGGGGATGGGGAAGGAAGCCTGGAATGACTCTTCTCCATCCCTACACATCAACCTTATGCAGGCATTGACCTTAACACTTTGATCTTTGTTAACATGTTGCCTTGATCCATGGTGGACTACAAGGACTCTTTTTTTTTTTTTTTTCCCTTTTTCTTCCATACTCTGAGGATAATTACATCAAAGCCGAAGATGCTTTCTTGGAGATATGGGGTTCTGGGCTGGTTTGTGTTGATGTCCTGGCTCCCTTTTGTGACATAAGTTGGGTCCAGAGGGAAATCAGGCAAGGTCACATTAAACCCAATTATAGTGGCACACAAGAATGTCATTATTTGCCCTTGAAGCCTATATAGTGTCCACTGGGGCCTCTCAGCAGAATAGCTTTTACTGTCATGGGGAGAAAAATTGCCAAGCTAAAGGGAGAATATTTAAGGGCTGAAGGAAATAGACACACAAACAATTATGGTAATATGAGGGATAAACTTGCTGCTCTCTATTGGCATCACATAATAACTTTTTTCTGCTCCCTGGTCAATTAATTTAACAGATTTTATTTTTTGTTTTTAACTCTTCTTTTCTAACAGTGTGCAGTTTAAATAATTAAACCTACAAATTTTGATATAAAGCCTGTAGCCCTCCTCCCATATATAGAATAAATAGTTCTGGTGGGGATTGGCTGCCGGTCGGTAAGTCCCGCTCGGGGATCTGGGTAGCGTTGCAAACCTTCCTCCCATAAAATTTCTCACAGCACGAAAAGCCTTCCATTAATTTAGAGCTTTATTGTCCATCCTTTCCGACCCATTATTCTCTGTATTTCTCTGCGTGCACACATGGACAAAAGAAAATACTTTCTTTTGGTCTTTTCTTCCTTATTTTCCACCTAATGCACCACCAACAAGGTGCGCTGGGGGAGTTTCTCTGACTTCCCTTGAATCTCCAGGTCCTGTTGGAGCTATTGGGATCAGGATGCCCAACTGAGGAAATTGATAGTAATTTAGGAGCAAAGATCCTGATGTAAGTGGATGAGTGTGATACGAGGCAGGGGATAGATGTAAAATAGCACATGGCTATTTTAGGGCTTCCTTTCAAACTAACCTCAAAGGACTTTAATAGAGAGGCCTATCTGGAATTCCAGGGTTTTGTAGGATGAGTGCTGGACCATTAGATCAGCTCTCCAGGGTGGCAATCTTATCTTGTTTTGCATGTGTAACAAACATAAGGTTTATAGAGCTTTATCTGGAGAATGGGAATAATGATACTCGCCCTGTTCTGAAAACGGTTTTAAATCTTGGGATGAAGAACTGTAAGACTGGGATATTCTTGCCTGAATGAAAATACAACCATTAAAAATTAAAGATGTTTATCCCATCCTTTCTAAAATTTACTTTTGTATTCTTGAGCGCTTGCCTGAAACAGCTGAAATTGCTGTAAAATGAACAGTTCCGCTTAATGGCTTTAGTGTAGATTGGGTTTTGTTTGTTTCTTTGGTTTTTAAGGTGAAACCCCACTTCCCTGCAACTCCTTCCCCTCTGGAAAACCTGGACACGTGAGCTCCTGTGCACCTGAAGTTTGAGATCCAGGGGGGAGAATTAGTTCCAGGAGAATGTGTTCCAGGGATCAGCCTGACACGCTTCCCTCTAGGGGTTTGGTCACTTCATCTGAGAGCAGTGATTTTGCAGCATGTTGGATAGTTATATCTGAGCTAGACTGGGGTCTTCCTTCTGAGGAGGCTTTGGTTTAAAACACAGATGAGTATCTTGCTGGGGCAAGCTCCAGACAGAGAGGTGGTGACATTTGGGTACATATTTTGGAAAAAAATGTAGATCACTTGGTTTCTGACAATCAGACGAAAGGAATGTTATTGTAGCTGATGGACATTCTTGAATGTCCCCATTTCCATCAAGTGAGGAGATGAACTCCATCATGGGGTATCATCCACATAAAGGACTTTTTATAGCAGGATCCCTTGGGTTATTGTCTCCAGCAGATAAACTGAGGCTAGATTTTAGTAGGCTGAAGCAGGAGGATGTCATGCTACAACCATTCTGTTCCTTTGATGACAGTAGGGTATTTATTTGCTTGTGTTTCATAGTCTTTAAAAACTAGTATTGGGGTGAGACCCCCTTCATGCAGTAAGCAGGACAGCAGAATGTCCCACTGGATATCCTTGTCCAGCTCAGAGGACTACACAATAGGCATGACTTCAGTGCTGTCTTGAATATCCAAGGTGACATGTTTTTAATTGCTTTGGCCTGAAAGATCAAAGCATCTTATGCTCCCTTCCTAAAATAAAACCTCGTAGCATCCAGGCACTGAATTTTCAGAATAGTTTGTGCCCAGTGTGTTTACCTGGTGTCTCCCATCAGGACTGTTTCTCATGGACACAGACAGAGTCTACTACTTGATTTGTGTCCTCAGATCTCCTAACCAGGTCTCTTTTTTTTTTCCAAAACAGCAAGAGCGACTTCAGCTGGACAGGCTGAAGAACCAGCTGTCTGATGCCATCCAGAGATATGGAGCTGTGCAGAAGGTGAGGGTCTCTCTTACTTCCCCTGTGAGTTTGGGAACTTCCAAACATCTAATGGACATTGATGTCTGATGGCTAATCTAAATCTCCCCTCTTTCAGTTTAAAACCATTCCCCCTCATGCTATGGTTCCATTCCCTCATCAGAAGTCCCCTCCCCATCTCTCCTGTAGCCTCTTTTAGGGACTGGAAGAGGCTTTAAGGTCTCCCCAGAGCTTTCTCTGAACAGGCTGAACAACCCCAACTCTCTCAGCCTGTCCTCACAGGATGGCTGTGTATCTGGTGGACCTTCAGTGGTGCCCCCACCTTAGCCATGACATTATTTCCATGTGTCTCCCCCTTCATGGGGGAAGGAGGAGTGATTGCACAGTGCCCCTTCCACCTTCTCTGCCTGCAGAAGGTACGTGGGCAACGTTGCTAATTTAAATGTTAACCCACTTTATGGCTGTGTTGTGCTGTGTGGCTTCCCCAGCGCATCTTGTGGTTTGGCCCCGTCACCAAGATCAAGCTGTTTAATAAAACAAACAAAACCTGAGCTCCAGCTCTTTTAATTTGCTTCCTGCTCTCCCGGTTTCCCCTGGGGAGGCTCAGCTGATGAGCAGATTTACTTTGCTTTTAAACACTGTAGTAATGATTTAAATTTACTATCCCGAAACTGCAGTAACGCCTTTGAATATATCTCTGCATTAATTAAGTCCTATGCAAATACAACCTGGAGAAACTCTGGTTGCCTTCTTACATTCCTTGGGCGAGTTTGCCCCGTGTCTGCAACACATAGGAAGACTATATCGTTAATTATACGGGTGTAATGAAATTTGGCTGGCAACATGCACTTAAGAATGTATCTCTATTAGAAACACTCTGCGCTGATTGATTTCGCAGCGCCGGCTGCCTGGGGTTTAAAAATAAATAAATAAATAAATAAAAGTACATAAAATTGCACTTGGGCAGCATGGGTATTATGTAATAGCATTGCATTATCTCTGGTGCTATCTCATATTTTTAATTATTTCTCTGTCCTATTCAAAAAGCCTAAGTGTGAGGCTTTTAAATAGAACGACTTTATCCCATTAAATGAGGAGTTGGAAGGATTCAGGTAAAGAGCTCCACCCCCATATACACACACCTTTTTAATGCCTTTTTTTTTTTTTTCTTAATGTTCGTAAGTACAATCCATCTGAACTGTACATGTAGGGGTTTATTATTTTTTTTTTTAAAAAAAAACCTGTCATCAATTCAGAATTGCCAAAATTAGCCGCTGCCATTTGTGAATGGCCGGTTGCGTCAGGAAACCAATCTGAGTGGTAAATTGCTACTTATCCACGTCCTATCTGTCATTTCTTTAATGCCTGTTTCAGTTTTCATAACCTTGTCATCCTGAAAGCTTTGGAGACTTTTAATTCCTGCAAGACCAAACTTTTCAATGAGTTTCTACTCCCTTTTTCTAAATGATAAGCCTTTTTTTCTCTCTCCTTTTCTTTAAAAAGCAGAAGAAATGGCTTCATAGGATTCCTTCCCTAAACATTTGGACTCTGTTTCCTCTGCCATTTTACATTTCCTTTCCCTTTTTTGCAGAAAATAGCAGAGAAATCCAAAGCTTTGCTTCCTACCGGGCAGAGAAGTACCAAACAGGTAAGTTGATGTGTCTCTGTGTTTAACAGTAAGTGCCTTGGTTTAAAAAAGGCTGTTTTCTACTTTCACTAATGATGCTGAAGAGCGTGGTGCACCCCTGCTCCCTACATTGAAGCCAGTGAGGTGGTCTTCAAACAGAGATGTGTGACATCTTTGGATGGGGAAGATAAAGGACCCAGGAAAAAAAAAAACAAAACACACAAACAAACATTTTTAAGACCAATTTAATTAGTCTCTGCTTTTCTGTTCTCATGGGGCTGGTTTTCCATTCTTGATGGGAGTTTTGTCTACACTGAAACATATCAAAGAACAGTCCTGTACCCCCTTCCCTGAGAGCTGGGCTTTTAGGCTCAGTGAAATCACACTCCCAAGTGCAATTTTGTAGAAGGAAGTAAGAGGGGCTTTTTAGCAAATTTCTGTCCTCAGTTTTAAGAGGGATCCTGGATTCTGCCTTCCTTGGTTACAGAACACTGTGGTCAACTATTATAGACATACGCAGATAGAGCCCTTTTTTTCTGGTTGTATCCCTATTAAGAGCTTTATCAGTGAATAAGTACTATATGTAATCAGAGTATATACATTATAGTTTTGTGCTTATATCTAGTTTCATATGTACATGCATGTGTGTATATATAAACTATCATTAAATGTATTTATTAACACGATTAAGAGTGAAAAAATACATGTGCATGTGTATATATAAGTATATAAATGCATATCTGTGTAGTCTTTCACAAATAGTACTGTAAAATACTATATTTGTGAGATGCCCGTGTGTATATAATAAATCTCCACAGATTTTAATGAGAAGTTTGGTGCCAGGAGATCAGTGAGCTGTAGTATCAGTCCAGCAGAGATTAGGTTGGCCTTTCACGTCCCACACACTAAAAAGCTTTTAGATATTTGCAACTGACATCACGCCACCAAAAAGCAGAATTCTATGCCTAATTTCAGTGACTTTTTCTGATATTCTTGATACTCTCATTTTTTAAGGAGCAATTAGCAGATTTTCTACTTTCCTAATTAAACTTCAGTCCCTACCTTGTTGTGCCATGTGGTTTTCTATATCCTCTTTAATGTGTATTAAAAAAGGAGTTGTTCTTTGTATCATTAATGCTTCTTGGTCATGAAGGGTGGAATGATGCCACCAAAGACCCTACCATTAGGGTACGTCAATGCAGCAGAGTTTTGATATTCGATGTCTTTCTGTCAATTACAATTATGACCCAGACCTCGTTGTCACTTTGTTGGCTTTAGGTGGCAGTGCCAATGAAACTAAGACCTTTGTGTGCCAACGGGCTAATGTGTTCCTTTACCCTGATTGAGAGTTCCCTCTGCCACCTTTGGAGTGATTGCCCACAGATGTTGCTTTTCAGTTATGCGTTTATAGATATGTTAGAGCTTATTTTTGTCCAGACACTGTTGATCTGTATTGGACGTGGGTATTGTGCATGGTCACGAATTGCATGTTCTTGAATGGTGGTCAGATCCACCAGACATCAAACATTTATCGGTTTTGATGATTGAGCTCAGAGATTAGGGAGTTTCTTTTCTGCAAATTAGCTGTAATTTGTTTTCCTGCCGTCTGTCTTACATCACCTCTTGTGCTTTTAACCAACTTTCTGAGATTACTATCAGTGGAGTGGATTGCAGAGGTGGGAACAGCTTTGGTTTTGCATGGACAACCACGTGGTTGCATGGCCATGGCTGTTCCATATGATGTGGGACGCTGCTGGCAATTAACCAGTGCTAATAGGGTGAAGAGGGTTAATTATTGCACAGCTGTTGTGCATCCCTGCACCTGGAGGAAACCTGGATGCAGTCAACTTTCTTGGTATAATGAAAATGGTTGATGGCTCTAAAAGTAACATTCTCTGGAAGGACGAGGAGGAAAAAAAGAAAATATCAGATAAAATTGTTGGAATGGGTTTGGAGGAGGCCACAAATATGATCAGAGGAATGGAGCACCTTTGCTGTGAGGAGGCTGAAAGAGCTGGGGTTGTTCAGTCTGGAGGAGAGAAGGCTCCAGGGAGACCTTACTGCAACCTTCCAGTCCCTAAAGGGGCTACAGGAGAGATGGGGAGGGACTCTTGATCAGGGAGTGGAGCAATAGGATGAGGGGGAATGGTTTTAACCGGAAAGAGGGGAGATTCAGATTAGAAATCGGGAAGAAATTCTTTACTGTGAGGGTGGTGAGACATTGGCCCAGGTTGCCCAAAGAAGTTGTGAAGATACATCCCTGGAGATGTTCAAGGCCAGGCTGGATGAGGCTTGGAGCAACCTGGTCTGGTGGGAGGTGTCCCTGCCCAGGGCAGGGGGATTGGAACTCGGTGATCTTTAATGTCCCTTCCAACCCAAACCATTCTATGATTGATTCTATGAAAGTTACTCAAATCTTGGAGACAAGTGTTGGGGTTGGAGATAAAGGGAGGCGGGAGAAAGAGCGGGGCAGAGACAACCCCTTTGCCTTTAAGCAGGTAAGAATCCAACCGTTCAGATGCTCCAGCTGTACCCATTTGGTGTGAGTCAGGTGGCATCAGCAGAAACTGGCTCAGAGACTGGATCAGCTGCAGATCGTTGCTCCGTGTCGTCGTCACTTGCCAACGAACGCTGGTGGTTGGCTTGGGCGCTTTATGAAAAAGCTGGGGGCTGCAGTACGTCCTCGGTGAGATGCTTCTGACTCAGAAACGGGCTTGCTCACACCCAAGAGCACATACTTCTCACGCAGCCACACTTGCCTGGGCTGGGGACACATGAGGTTTCATGGAAACTGCCTGAAAAGGAAGAAATTTAATTCGCTTTCCTCTTTATTTTCAGCTTCACAAGTGTCTTCTTTTCTTCTTCCTTCGGATATAGAAAGGGCGAAATTAAATGTATGTAACCTGCTATAGGGAACACAGCGGTGTGGTTGTTTTTCACTTATTTTTCCAGCTGCAGATTGGTCAGAACATGGAAAATTATAGTCCCCACAGCAACCATAACCCAACCGCTACGTGCATATATCAAGGCAGTAAAGTTAACGCCCTATACAGTAATGCAAAATACTACGTGTGTTCAGGGGACCTGATTTATGGGGTCTTGTGAGGCTGCACGGTGAACTTCTTGACTTGGTGCAGATCCAGGCTGGATTCAAACACCCTGCTTGCCCGCAGGGCTTTGTTTTATTATATTTATGCTTTAATTTATTACAGCACATTATAAGAGGTTTGAAGAATGCTACTTTTTGTAGACGCGCGTCCCTGTAGTTCTTCTCTTCCATTGGTGGGTGGGAAAGGCAAGATGTTTGGTAACACAAACCCTAATAAGTTGCCTTTAGGGAGTAATTGATTCCCCAGACCCACATAACAGATAAAAATTGGAAAGTAAAGCTTCGGGAAAGTTATTCTCCTGCCCATCGTGGTTTTCTGTAAGTACTGTTTAATTGAGTTTATTTATAAAAGCAAACTAAAGGCATTGATCCAAAATTCCTTGAGGCCTGAAGTTATATAAATTCTTAATCAGGTGTGTGTTTGTAGGAATGTGTTTGTGTGTAGGCAAATCGATGTAGTTCTATAGGTGTGTTGCCGCGTATATTGAAAGACACAAATTTTTACTACGCTGAGTGATCGTTGTTGAAGGTGGGTTGTGGCAACTATTTAAAAAGAAAAAAAAAAAAAAAAAGCCCATTCCTTTGGATCTGTGAAAGCAATTTTAAATATTCAGCCAGTGGCCAAAATGAGACCTCAGAAGTCTCATTAAGGGAGTGCTCAGGGGAATCCTGGAGAGCAGCTTTCCACTTATGAGAAATACGGGGCAGACATGCCTCAAATCCCACCTTCTCCCCCTGCACACACACACTTTGGTGCAAAGCAACTGTTCCTCCCTCCAGGTGGAAGATCCAGTGTAGGAGAGGGGTTATTTCAGGTGTCCCCCAGAGCAGGGTTGCAGAGCATGGGACAGTGTGATCAATGGTAGGAGAGGCTGGAGAGCTGAGTAGACCTGTCCCCTTGGCTAAGTCCATCCCACGGTGCAACAGCTGGGTATAATATGTTCTAATATCACAGAATAGATGATCCGTAATATTAAAATAATAAATGATAGCCTGCAGAAAAGCCACAAAATAACCAATAATCCTTCTGAGCACAGGAAGTGAAAAGGAATCCTTCTTTTTAATTCTTTTTAATTATCGTGCATCTACTTCCCATCGAAAGAATAATATATTATTGTGCCTATGATTGAAAAAGTTCGAGTGATATTAAACCCATTGTGCCCATGATTGAATAAGTTCGAGTGATATTAAACCCAACACCCAAAACTTCTTAAGACTAGGCTGAGAAGCTGAGGACTCCTGAGGATTCATCCCTGGCAGGGTCCAGCAGGGACATCCCCCAATCTGCATCCTTATTGCAGTTGTGACAGATCTTCAGGCCACCTCCATCTTTCCTGGGTCCTCACTGACCACGCTTAGCCCTCTGTCTTCTCAGCTGATGAGGAGGAAAGGTGGGCTTCCTCACCCATGTAGACTTTGTGGGTTGTCCCCCAAAAGGATTGGGAGCAGGGGAAGCACAGCTCCGTTTTAGCTGAGGAATGAGTTTTAAACTTGAAACCACACCAAAAAATCTAAGCAGTTTGTTTTGTGTGGGGTTTTTTTGGTTTTTGTTTTTTTTTTTAGAGGAAACTTTCCTGGCATTTTTTAGAAATTAAAATTACAGTAATTGACATAGTATAATGGCACCCCTCTTCATTTCCTGCTGCTCACGGGGAGAGGGAAGGATAATTACAGCTCTGGAACATGGCAGTTGCCAAAAGAGCTGCCTTTGTTTCTTATTCCATAAGCCTACTTGACCCTCCTCTCGAAGGTCAGTAAATTATGTTTCTTAGGAGCACAAAAATGGGTAATAAACCTCTATTTGCATATACAAGCTTCTTTCTCCTGACTACATCAATTTACTCGTGCTTTAAATGGACTTCCTTCTCACAGGAAGCATCATTTCGGTCTCTCTTCCTGTGTTTATGAAGTT